AAGTTGGTTAAATATTATATACATCAGTTTCAGGCTAAGTTAGCAATGTATGTGAGGGTAAATCAGAAGCTTTTTTCAGGGCAAGTATTTTAGGGTAAAATAGGTATTATGGAACTCTGACTTGAATGTTTCAGTGTGGCTTTTCCTTAGGGTTTAATTTGTTCTTTAAGGGCTAAATATGAGTAAGATAGGTTTCTAATTCTTTTCCCATTAAAGTCTATTCAAATTATCTTTTCAAAGAAAATAATTTTGATATATTTAAATGAAGAATACTGTTTTAGAAGCCATTTATATTACATCATAAAATTTAAAATTTCACAGCAACTTCCCAAACATTATTGAGGGTGTACTTTGGACCAAGTACTGAGCAAGGTGCTGGTAATGCAGAAATGATTGGAGTCTGGAGGTGTGCCTGAAAGTGTTAGGCTAGTGCTAATCTTTGTTAGTAACCTACAGAATTTATTTGAACAAAGACTTAATTTTTGGACTAATCACAGGTGTCAGGGTATTTCCTGAGCAGTTCTAGACTTTTTGAACAAAAAAAGACCAATATTTCACCTTAAATAAGCCAGCAGACCACTATGCTTTTTTAATAAGCCTACTAAGTTAAATTTAAAATGTTCATTTTAGGAAATGAACAACAAAAACTCCATATCTGTCATTAAAACTGAGCGGGTCTGTTTCCTGTGAAGATACATCACCTTTAATCATTTTGACTCTGTTATTTCCTTCCCCACTAGAGCAAACCAGTGTGAAGTACAGAATTCTGCCCCCTTGAGGTGAGCTTCTGTTTAGTGAAGTGCTTCTGTTGTTTATGTTTATCTTTTATAATGGCTGTGGGCCATTGTTTTGTCTCAGAAGCGTATATACAGAGCTAACCCTAGACGATGTTTTGAAGCGGGTATACTTTGTTGTGGATGCTTTTTTTCAAGAATCAGTCATTTTCTGAAGATGTCTACCTACTTCAGTTGTTTGTCATCTTTAATCAGAGGATATAAAAAAACTTTTTTAGGTAAAAAATTTATTACTTGAATAATAATAAGTACACAGTACTAAATAAGTGTAAAATAAATGTAAGTAATTAAATTTTCAAATGTTATTTTCATAAGTTTATAGCATTTATAGTTTAGAAGTGATTAATGTTTAAAACTATATGAAGACTTGGGACACCCTTTAAATAGAGAGATAAACAATATTTAGATAAAAAATTTAAATATAAATATATGCTTTTCAATGAATAGTATATAATACAAATTAACATAAAAATTATATATAAATTTGCATAAATTTATAAATTGATGTAAATATGTATTTATTTGAATTTGTATAAGTGTAGACTTATATGAATAGTTATTTTACTGTATATAAATATATATAAATATGAAATACAAATCAATATTTTGTATTTATATATATTCTTGATATTCACTCATTTGCCAAGCCACCTATTTGACAGAGAATGAGGAAGATATGTTATTGAGTGAATCTGAAGTTCTGCTAAAAGCTTTAGAGCTACTTTTGTATATGATCACTCCTTATAAATAAAAATACATTCCATAATACAAATCAAAATTTGGGAAAAAGAGAGCAGTCATGAAGAATAGATTCTTTTTCTCAAAACGATTTTATTTTGATTCATAGCTTTATGATTTTGGAACAATTTAGTTCATCTTGTATCAAAAGAATGGCTAACCTACTGTCATGTATTCTGAGAATGAATGACACAAAGATAGAATTTTGGTATCTTATGTTTGCTCATAAATTTACACCATCAAACAGAGACACTCTCTCTTTAGAAAAAATTTTGTTTAAGTCATAAGGAGCTATGCTGTTGAATAAACTTCTAAAACTTACATAGTTATAAAAACTAACATCGTGTATTCTCTCTGTATTGACAAATACATGGAGTCATTTTGTTTCTTTTTGCAATAATATAAACTACGATCTGCCTAATTGAAATAAAATTTCACAAGTTATCATCTTACATTATTTTATATTCTCTACATATCCTTAAAGTCTTATTAACATTCTTTATGACCATACTTCAATATAACCCATATACAAATCTAAGTGATTCAAAATATTCATTATAAATCGCAATCTAATTTTTTTCTTTGTCTTGTCTCTGAATCAGTATCAGTAATGCTTTATTTTTCCCCCTTCTTTACACTGTTCTATAGAGTGTATTGACCATTTATCTCTAAAGGACAATAACAGTATGTTGAATTGATACAAACAAAAGAATAAATGCCAAAGGAGGTGGTGTCTCTACCATGCCTTGCTACTGTATAACAGTGTCATCTTGGGGAAAATTGCTTCATCACTCAGGGTCCAAGTTTTTTCACCTACACAAACAAAAAACAATCCAATTCTCATAGATAGGAGCTAAAGGCTCTTTCTGTGTTTTACTACCAATGAATCCTTTTGAAATAGTGGTTTCTAACCTTTATATTGACTCCTCATCAAATTAGTTCATTGAGAAATGTCCATTGATTCCAATCACATTTCATCTGCCTTAGTTCATTTCCTATGTCTAGAAGTGACAATGAAAGCAAAAATGTGAATTCCAAGTTTGCTAACATGTTCCGCTAAGATTAAACACTGATGTTTCCCTACACAGAATAATTCTTTTCCAAAGAGCACTCACTGTTAAATTAACTTAATATGAAACAAGTTTCTAAACTCAGAAAGAACATTAACCAAAAGAAATACTGAAACCGTTACTGAAATATTCCATAGTCAAAGAAATAATCTGACAGGACGTTAATACACATTCTGCAATGCATGTAAAGAAGTGTTTAAGAACACTTGTAATAAAGATGTTTCTGAGAAAGCTAGGAAAGGAGGGAGGGAGGAAAACAACCTAAGGATCAACACCGATTAACTATTGTCAATCTAATTCCTAACTGGCCTAAATTCCTAAACTTTCAAATTGATAAACTTACTGACTTAAATCCCTATAGTAAAATCTCCAGCCTTGATATCAATGACTATACTGTGATACTGATGCAGAAGGGATAGATTGCCATGTGGCAAAGCAGACACAACTTGAGTTCCTGGCTCCTGGTTCCCTTTGCATTGTATCTAGCATATGCACTGTGATCTGCTCTGTATCGTCTTCTGCTCTCAACCTTAATTTGAAAGGCTCTCTACCTTTGGTGGGATAGTTATTTCATGTTATTAGTGTGAACATAGTTCTGAGAACTCCCACCAGGTACCTTCTGAGATAGCTTACAAATCCCTACTAGCCTAGCAACTTCTGTTATACTAAATCCAGATTCTGTAAGAAATGCAAATAATGGGAGAAAAGTACAGCAGAGAGTCAGTGTTAAAGGTCATGTTTTTGAATATTTTTTAAATTGGTCAAATTGGGAAGATAGGAAAGTATAGAACATGAAAGACAGGAATATTTAAGTGATTTCTAAAAGAGCATTATGACAAAAAAAAATTGTAATTTTCTACTTAATTGAAGCCAGGAAAAGAAAAAAATTCAGCCTCAAGATCTGAGATTACTATTTGACCACAAAACTTGCCCAGGAATGATAATTATAACTGACGTTTATGAAGCACTTTCTATGTATTCAGACACTTCTCTAAGTACATTGTAAGCATTAATTACTTTAATTCTCCAAACAAACCTATAAGGTGAATGTTTATATTATCCTTTAATTTTTAAAGATGAAGAGACTGATGCTTGCAGAGGTAATGACTTGACCTAAAAATTTCAGTTTTATAGTAAAAACCAACAGGTACACAAAATTCACTTCTTTAAAAGATACTTTATTGTGAGTACCTTTGGAATTAGTTTTCTGAAAAAGTTTGTGGTCTCATTATCTACTTAGGAACAAAGAGTTAGAGATACAGCTATCTATAAAAATTATACATACTCTCTGACACACATACATTATTTTCATATTTATTTCATTTTTCCAATATTTTGATAAATTCTTTGAGATCAATTGCATATATGAGCTCCTTGGGAGAGGAGAACACAATCAGTAAGTTTTGGGAATAATTTGGAATTAAATTTGCTTACTTAGTACTAGAAAGCACTTTTTTTCCCTTAAGCAGAAATAAACTTAATAAATAAAATATGAGATATAAGATTATAATTTGATTATAACTTAGAAGAGAAAATTATAAATATGTGTACAAAAAAAATTGGAAAAAATAGACCAAAATATTGGAGGTGGTTGTGTTGGGGTGGTGGGACTCTAGCCAATTTTCTTCATTCTACATATTTCTTCCATTTTATTTAATGAGTGGTTGTTATCTCTATGATGACAAATATTTAAGTATGGAAATAGGAAATGTAATTACAGAGTGCTATAATCAGAGAGTCTTAGAGTTATAAATATATTATCTAAAATAAATTTCTATAAAGTATGAGCATGCATTATAGAAATTTCTAAGCATTAATATGAATATTTGTTAGATTTGAGATCTTAGAAACAAATGACTTCAAAAGGAAATCTACATTATTAAAATATTAGATATTGGAGCTTGATATTGGATTTTTAATATCTATTTATTGAAAACTTCTTTATGTTGACCTAAATTTTATTTCACTATTATGGTTTAGACTTAAAAATATAGGAACTATCTCTAGGTTAAAAAAACAATCAAAGGGGGGCACCTGGGTGGCTCAGTTGGTTAAGCGACTGCCTTCGGCTCAGGTCATGATCCTGGAGTCCCGGGATCGAGTCCCGCATCGGGCTCCCTGCTCGGCAGGGAGTCTGCTTCTCCCTCTGACCCTCCCCCCTCTCATGTGCTCTCTCTCATTCTCTCTCAAATAAATAAATAAATAAAATCTTAAAAAAAAAAAAAAACAATCAAAGGGAATGTTTTGCATTCCTTCTTGCATTCATTTTGTTTGTTTGTTTGTTCTGGAGTGTTTTGCATTCTTTTTTGCATTCATTTGCATGAATGTTTTGCATTTTAGAAGTGTTGCTTTATTCAAGGCACTCTGCTAGCACAAGACAATAAAAAATGAGTCTTACCCTCAAAAAGCTCCTGGTGTAGTTGAAGACATGAGACACATAGCCAAATAAAAGCTGAAAAAAATTGAAGACATAAAAGTGAGAGACTTGATTCATTGGTTCATTCAGCACACATTATTGAATACCTACTAGATGATGGGAACACAGTGGTCAACAGGAAGCAGTCTCTGCTGTAGATAACATCATAGTCAAGTAGAATAGCTAGATAGGAAATCCAGTGATGAGGGGACAAATATACTCATTTATCCATCCTTTTATCTCTAGTTCATTTTTAAAGCTTTCACTAAGCATCCTTTGTGCAGCTACCAAAAACACCACCAGAAACAAAAGTGAGGGCTGAAGAAGCATGTCAAAATTAGGTCCTTATGGAGAGGAATTAGGCAAGTAGAATGAAGTAGGCAACTGTTTGTATTTGAAATTATTAGAGAAAAAGATTCAAAGCAATTTTTCTAGGTTTTGAGTGATAAAGGAGATAAATGAAGAACCTCATTGAGCCAGGGACACATTCATGGATGAAGTATTCTCTAGCGTTCATTTTAAGGGGTAACTTTTAAATTACTATATTCTATTACATTTCAAAGAGATCCCTATTGTGAAGCAACATTTTTAGTAATGCTAATTTAAAGCATTAATATTAATAATGGAATGGCTGAGTCATCTCAACTTTCTTAGCCTATTTTACACAAACAAACAAACAAAACAGGAATAAGCTAATTAAAAATAAGTTGATGATGCTCTAGCCTTTGTTTTTTGCCTCCAAAAGGTTTCTAAGTGGTCTAAGAAAACACACTTTTTAAAAATTTTGCTGACATTTACTTAAATACTGGTCTTTTTTCCTAATCACTTGCATCTTCGTAACCACAAGAGAGAAACTGTACAAAACAAGCTAGGATGACGGAGTTAAAGGAAGCACTGGCCTCAGACCACATCAGGTCCCCTCCTGCCTCGGCCTCCCATCAGCTTGGGATCTGTGCACACCTTTGACTCAGTTCAGTCAGCTTCAAACTGGGTAAAGCTGAAGGAAATTGTAAAAAGAAGTACGCTTCTATTTAAAATACTTTACTTTCATAAGGTACATCTTTGACTTCCATCCTTGCCTCTCTCCTTTTCTCTTTATCTTTCTTTTTAAACTAATTAATGATTTATTTATTTTTTGAGAGAACGTGTGTGTAAGTGGGGGGACAGGCAGAGTGAGAGAGACAGAATCTCCAGCTGACTCCCCACTGAGTGTGGAGCCCTCCCCGGGGATGGATCTCAGGACCCTGAGGTCATGACCTGAGCCACAATCAAGAGTCGGACACTCAACCGAGTCACCCAGCCCCCCCCCCTTATCTTTCAAACTCTGTCACTCTCTCTTTCTGCCTCTCAATCTCAAACATGCACACACATACATGTATTATGTATAAATACACACATGTACATATGTGTATATGTATGTACAAACACACACACATATCAAAAAAACAAAGCCATAAACAGATATTTGAGGTTTATTTCTGACACATGTTCTACTTTCTCATTTCCTATAATGCTTAGAATAACTCATCAAAGAAAATTGAAGCCATACTTTCACTTCTGATGTCAATTTTTAAATGCTTTCAGTGAACACCACCATCTTCAGTTAACACCTCCAAAGTTTTAATAATTCCTCAAAGTGCACATACCTAGTGGTATTATTTCCTCAAGGTCCCTAGGTATATATCCATGTCAATTTAATAATCAATAATCCGTCTTGACTCTTTTTAATGACTCTGGACTTGATGAGATCTGTTTTTGAATCGTTAGAAGCACAGTTTGAAATGTTTCTGATGAATTTTGAGAATGACTTATAGTATGTCATCCCAGAAAACTGCACTTTTGTTTGCATGGGCAGACTGAAATTTTCTGTTTGAAAATCATTAACATTTTATCAATACTTTAGGTCTTGAAATTAAAAGAACAGCAGGTATTTACAGATATCCTTGCTAGCTCAGAGAATAATGTGTGGTGTGTGTATTCACACAAACACTCCCAATCTTCAGTTCTGATAGTCCTTGAAGGACCCAGAGGAACAAAAACTGAAGGAGATAAAGAAAAACTTGGTATTCATACATTACCTAAACCAGTACAATGAAAGAGAATAAATCTTGTATAGTTTCAAATGCTTCACAAATCAATAAATGAATAGCAGCACTGAGAGGTTTAAAATTGTTTTCTTTTATTTTGCTAGATTTACCACCTAGAGAATGATAATACTCAATTTTTCAGTTGATGAGGTATCTGACTCCCTCCATGATATGAATGTTATGCTTTGTACTACTTAAAAAAAAAAAATCCCTGTTCAGGTACTACAAACATACACACAATGTCTCATTAATATACTTATATTTGGGATATTATCTTGGAACTGTTGTTTAAAAATTAAAAAAAAAAAAAAGACTATTGAGGGAAGAGAGGCAGAATTCACTGAAAATTAACAACTCCGGGAAGGTATGTATGGCTTTCTGATTTCTCCAAGTGGAATCAAGCAACATATTCCATTGAATGATTAATTATAATGTCAGTGAAATGTAAGGAAAATATCTGGGTAATGCGATACACATTGTTTGCACTTTACATCTAGATAGAGTAAAAAATACCTAATTTAACTGAGTCCTCACATACATCTGTAATCTCACTGACCCATCAGGTTGAATGACATTATTTCCTTTTTTTTTTGTGAACCCTCTTTGGCAATTTTGATTTAGGATTGATCTTCATCTCATTTTCTATCTTTATTTTTGGCATATTCGGTAATTTCTGCTTGAGAAATTAAAGGTAATATTCACAACTCTGATAGTTTTCAACAAATGAGAAACAGTTGCTTCATCTTCAGCATTAATAACAATTTGTTCTATCTTTATAAACATACTTAGGAGGTTGTTTGTACTTGAAGACCAGACTATATTGTAACAACTGAATTTGAAAATCTCTTTCAAAGTATTTTAATAATAATATAAATTATGATAATCTCAGCACATTAATTGAATATTTACTAAGTGTCAGGAACTGTTAAATCTTCTATATGCATTTACCTAATCCTCCAACTGCCCTATAATATAAAGACCACCATTCACCTCATTGTACAAGTGAGAAAACTGAGCAGTTAGGTAACTTTCCTAGGGTCACACTGCTAACAAATGAAGGAGCTGGAAAATGAATCCAGAAAGTCTAATTCTAGAATCATTGCCCTATTAAATCATTTTATTTAAAATTATTATATTGATGGTAGATATCCATTTTTATTTAGGCTAATTTATGTTATAGCAGATAATTATGACAATATAAAGAATTCTAAATAAAATGACAACCAAATTTATAAAGATTAAATTCATAGAGTAGATAAAGCAGAGGAAAAGATTGGTATGTATAAGTGAAGACTACAAATCTTTAAAGTCTATAGAAAAGGTCTTCACATAAGACTCGAAGACATCTAGAAGATTATGAATAGCAGTTAATGAGCGTAACTCACATTGATTTAGCATGGTTTAAACTTTTTATTATAAAATCAACATGGTCATTATCTAAAAGTAAATGATACAAAAGATTTACATAAAAATAAAAGTATTTTTCCTCTCAATTCTACAACTCAACTCCCCAGAAGAACCCACTATATATAATTTCTTTTGTACCTTTCTGGATGCTTTTTTGGTAAATGCAAATATATGTTTATGTTAAACATAAATGAGATCAAATATAAATACTGTTATATAGTTTTTTTTTTTTTAACTTAGTGCATCAGGAAGATCTTTCCATATTATCCCATAGAGATTGAGCTCGTCCTTTTTATTAGTCAATGCTCCATTTCACGGATTAAAAATAACTATTCTAAACTGTTTCTTAACTTTGCCTGTTTCAAAAACCACTGTAACCAAACATCCTCGATGCTCTACACATGCTGGTACTAGTTAACCCTACAGAAAAATTCCTGGAACTAGATGGGTTAAATTTTTATAGTTCTTGCCCATCAAGAAGATTGTACCCCTACACTCCCACCGACAGGGAAAAGTGCTGGATAAAACCAATGCTGGATAATAAGACATTTTAGTCTTTGCTGAACTAACAGGTGGGAAAGTTCCTCACATTAATTTGTACTTATTTAATTATGAATAGAGTTAATTAATTATTAATGAGTTAAGTATTTCTTTAATTATAAATGGAGTTTTCCCATATTTGAATTGGTCATTTGTATTTTATTTTGTCCATTTTTTATTGAGTTTTTCATCTTACTGATTTTGTTCTTCGTTTTGTTAAAAGTTTTAGACTATTTTCTGTCATATATGTTGTGAATGTTTTCCCTAGTTCTAATTTATGTTTTGCTTATTTATGTTTTGCTGTATGTGGTGTAAAGAAATTTTAAATTTCTATTTTGTCTGAATTACCAATCTTGTTTTTTATGCCTCCTGAGTTTGACATGCCTGGAAGGATTTTTTCTATTCCATCATTATAAAAACATTCATATATTTGCTATTTTTAATGTTTCATGTTTTACATTTACTTATTTTACTTATCTAAAATATATTTACATGTAGGGAATGAAGAAGAACCCAGTTTTTCCCCAAATGGCTTTGCAGTTGTTCTAGCACCATTTATTAAATAATCCATCTTTTCCCTACCAACATCATATGCCACCTTTACCCAATAATAAATTCCCATGTGGAGCTGGACTTATTTCTGGATTTTCTATATAGTTATATTGAAATAATCCCTTTTAAAGTTCTCCCTGGGTCAGTATTTTACTCAACAAGATTTCCTTATCTTGGATAGAAAATATATCCTCATTATAGCTATAAGATAGAAAGTAATCCTAAGGGGTCGATGAGTCAGGCTGCCTTCACAGTAACTATATACAGAGAAGTGTGTGCGTGTGTGTGTATTTAATATCTTAGATCTTTAAAGTTTTAGTAGCTTGAATATAAGAATAATTTAAAGTTTTCTTTTCTCTATATATAGTTCCATCTGCTCTTAGTTCTTTGTCTTGTAATCTTTCAGAATTCTAAAAAGGTGGCAGCACTGTTATGAATTACTATGCTATATTTAAAAAGTCTTTTTGAAAAATAGAAATAGTAATAATTTATGTACACTAATCATTCATAGTTTATCATATATAATTATTTAATCTTCCCAACTATGTGAAGAGGCATGATAATTATTAATATCATCTAAATTTTATAGGATTGATATCTGTCTCAGAGATACAGGTCATTAATCCAGGACCATGGATTTGGCTAGCAAATAACAAAAAGAGATCCCAAATCAAACCCAGATCTTTTCAGAGTAATAATGCAAAGCTCTTTCCAGTACTTCAAATTTCCTAAGTTTAGAAGCATTTTCAGAGTTTGGGCTATGTACTGGTACTATGATAAGACACTGGGTTATAGAAAAAAAAATCTTCAGTTCTAGCTCCCTATGTTAAGGTGGAATGACTCGTGAAGCCCCTTATAGTTTAGGCAGAGACAAAGCTGTAAATAATGGCTTATCTTGATACCCTGTTTGCAAGTTTATTGTCTCCTCTTCTCAAACACCAGCCATTTCATGTTTTCCTGGTTCTAATGGGCAAAAAACATCCCAATGTCCTGCCCAAGCCTGTCCTCCTTGGACTTACTCTCATGGTCTGATTCATAATTCCTTTTTACTCTCAATGCTATGACTTTACAGCTCTGCATCTTAAAGTGGTCTGCAGAAATCCATGATAATTTAAGAGTGATGCAACACAACACTCTCTTTGGGGCCATTTGTATTTTATGAAAGACTTTTAGTAACTGATTGTTACTTTTTTGTTATAAAAGAAATATATAGGGGCACCTGGGTGGCTCAGTCGTTAAGCGTCTGCCTTTGGCTCAGGTCATGATCCCAGGGTCCTGGGATCGAGCCCCAAATCGGGCTCCCTGCTTGGCGGGAAGCCTGCTTCTCCCTCTCCCACTCCCCCTGCTTGTGTTCCCTCTCTCGCTGTGTCTCTGTCTGTCAAATAAATAAATCTTAAAAAAAAAAAAAAGAAATATATAGTTCCTTTTGGAAAATAGGTAGCATTAGGGGAAACATCACCTATTACCTTTCAAAAAGAGATAAACAATCTTAATCTGTGTGTGTGTATATACACACACACACACACATATATATACATACACAAATATACACATACAATAGAACAAAAGAAAATGGGCCTTCAAATGGGAAGATCTAGGTTCTAGTCCTGTCTTTACCACTTACAAGTTGGGTAATAATGGCTATATCTAGCCTTTATGCATATGGTAAAACATGAGCAACTTCCATTTATCTAAGCCTCATTTCCTTATCTATAAAATGAATATATTTCTATTTGCTGTCCCCTTTAAGTGTTGTTGTGAGGTACAGTTAATAGATCATGTATGTAGTAATCAATTGCAAAATATAATGTAGCATAAGATTCAAAGATTCAGAGCAATGCACTCTTAGGGACGCTAATCTTCATATGAATCCTGCTTGTACCTTTCTGATCTCTGTTGGTGTGAGGGATCTACTCTTGGTATGTAGAAAGATGGAGATTGACACAAGCAAATGTGCTAATTATTCTGCAGAAATATTGGACCTTTAAAATAAAAATTCCATCATAACATATAATAACAAAGAAGTTTTCCATCTCTTCCCTTGCACTATGAGTTATAGTTTATTCTGATTATGTCAAAGGTGGGTATAATTCCCCTAAGTTAGGTCCTCTTTGTCTTGGCCACAACTGGAACTTACTAATTTTTTTATTAGGCCAGTATCACAGCAGAAATAACCCAGTCAGCAGACAGAGAGGAGCAGATTAGATCTATAGGATGTCAGTATCATTTTTTCCGTTTTCAAGGCAAATGAAATCTCTCATGCCTTAGTTTCAATGACTAAGACAAGAAGCTGGCCTTGTGGGTAGAGGTCAAGTACAATTTGATAAGGACCTTGGTCTCAAAATATATTAAAGACCAGAACATCATATAAAGATTAGGATGAAGTTTCCTGAGCTGTTATAAGAACTAGAGAATGTCAAGTTTCAAGGGACCTTAGATAGCAGCTAATAAAGCCCTTTCATTTTATAGATGGGGAACTAGAGCAGTGCATTGATTAGCCTGAGATGATATAGGTACAGTAAGTGGTAAAACCAGGACAAAAGTATGGATCAGTAATATCACTTGAATATTAATGTTTGTAACTCTAGTAGTTATTTACATTTTTTAAGTTTCCTTCTAGTTTTACTTATAAACACTACTTCATGAATACTTAGGGCCCTCCCTAAAATGCCTTCTCCATCTGCCCAGGATACAGAACTGGTTCTACATATGGATTATATACTCAAAGGAAGGAGGAAGAAGAAAGATAGGAATGCTGTATTCTATTGTTTTCATTGTCACTCTCCTTATTTAATTTGAAAGGTCTTTGCTCCTTTGCTTCCAGGATGTCTAGAGCAACATACCTTAATATTGATGTTCTCAGGACATATTTCAATTACTCCTTGTCTTCTTAATCTGTCTCATTTTTGAATCTGTAAAATGGAAGAAACAGTAGTACCTATCCCATCCATTACTGTGAGAGTTAAATGAGACAAGATATGGAAAGCACTTTGAACATTGCTAATACATAGCAAATGCTAATAACATCAGCTATTATTACCACCATTGTTACTTGCTAAATCCTTTCTTCAGACAGTGTCATTGAGATACCACTTTTTTAAAAGATTTTATTTAGTTATTTGAGAGGGAGAGAGAGCGCGCATGAGCACGTGCAAGAGCACAAGAGCTGGGGGAGGGAGAAGCAGGCTCCCCGCTGAGCAGGGAGCCTGACACAGGGCTGGATCCCAGGACCCTGGGATCATGACCTGAGCCGAAGGCAGATGCTTAATTGAGCTGCCCAGCTGCCCCAAGATACCACTTTTTAAGGTATAAGGCTATTCACAGGGCACATGGAAAAATCTGGCTAAATAGCCTCAAAAGAATATTTGAGATTATTTTAAAAGGCTGGTTTAACAGCAGAATAATTTTACGATCCCATTGAACTTTGTTCCTTATCATTATAATGATATAAGATGGTATAGAGGATAGTATGTGTATGAATAGAACCTTTCTTCTTAATGTGTAAAATTTTATTTGGTTATGAAAGGAAAAAATTTACCAGGAATATGCAAAAACAATCCCATAAATGTGTGACTCTCTCCTAATAATCTTACTGCACAAAGAGATAAAGTTTATTATCTCAATTCTATACGCTAAGGACTTTTCTACTTCTCTGACTGTATCTGGGCCTTCTCTCCCTGACTTATTAGGCTTTCTAGAGGCTACAGTCTTAAATTATAGTTTATTCTCAAAGAGAAATGGAACAGGCTCAGGTCACAATAAAAATGTGTCTATATATTGAATGCTTATTGCATGTCAAATGTTTTATGGACCCACCTCCTTGCAGTTCACATTAACACTGCAAGACAGGCATTATGATCCCCATTTTTCTTTCTTTTTTTTTTTTAAATTTTATTCTTATGTTAATCCCCATACATTACATCATTAGTTTTAGATGAAGTGTTCCATGATTCATTGTTTGTGCACAACACCCAGTGCTCCATGCAGAATGTGCCCTCCTCAATACCCACCACCAGGCTAACCCATCCTCCCACCCCCCTCCCCTCTAGAACCCTCAGTTTGTTTTTCAGAGTCTATCGTCTCTCATGGTTCGTCTACCCCTCCGATTTCCCCCGCTTCATTCTTCCCCTCCCGCTACCTTCTTCTTCTTCTTTTTTTTTCTTAACATATATTGCATTATTTGTTTCAGAGGTACAGATCTGAGATTCAACAGTCTTGCACAATTCACAGCGCTTACCAGAGCACACACCCTCCCCAGTGTCCATCACCCAGTCACCCCATCCCTCCCACCCCACCCCCCACTCCAACAACACTCAGTTTGTTTCCTGCGATTAAGAATTCCTCATATCAGTGAGATCATATGATACATGTCTTTCTCTGTTTGACTTATTTCACTCAACATGGTACCCTCCAGTTCCATCCACGTCGTTGCAAATGGCAAGATCTCATTCCTTTTGATGGCTGCATAATATTCCATTGTATATATATACCACATCTTCTTTATCCATTCATCTGTCGATGGACATCTTGGCTCTTTCCACAGTTTGGCTATTGTGGACATTGCTGCTATAAACATCAGGGTGCACATAGCCCTTCGGATCCCTACTTTTGTATCTTTGGGGTAAATACCCAGTAGTGCAATTGCTGGATGATCCCCATTTTTCAAATAAGAAAATGGAGCCTCAGAGAGATTGACTGATTTTCCCAAGGTTACACAGCTCATAAATGCCATAGCAGGGATTCAAACCTTGTTGGTCATTACATGATGCCATGAGGAAACTTTAAGAGGTTTTACTAAAAACAACATTCTAGGGGCGCCTGGGTGGCTCAGTCGTTAAGCATGTGCGTTTGGCTCAGGTCATGATCCCAGGGTCCTGGGATCAAGCCCCACATCGGGCTCCCTGCTTGGCGGGAAGTCTGCTTCTCCCTCTCCCACTCCCTCTGCTTGTGTTCCCTCTCTTGCTATGTCTCTCTCTGTCAAATAAATAAATAAAATCTTTAAAAAAAAATAAAACAACATTCTAGAAAATATTACCTTTTAAAACATATATAGAAATATTAAGAATAAACATAAGACAACAATTCAAATGAATGGAAATATAAAAACAGAAGAAATATCTTTTAAACCAGCTGTTCTCTCTCTCTCTCAGATAAAATCTTTAAAAAAAAATAAAATAAACCAGCTGTTCTCTAAGAAACCTGTGGTTCTTTATTGCAATATTCAGCAGAGTATCCCAGCAAATAAAAACATATATACTTTTACTCTGAGCAGATGTTGTTAGAAAGATTTTTTTTTCCATTTTAACTTGTATTAACATGAATGATCAGTTTGATCTTCTGTGAAAATAAATTTTTTTTCACATCCTCTGTGGAATATTTGAGACTTCTAATTGTCTTTTGGGATTACACATACCCCAGTTTCCTTTGAAAGCAGTATTACTTTAAGACCATCCCAGAAGCCCATGTGAGGAGGGGAGTCAGGATCCACATGCAGGTGAAGGCAAGTCTTGGCTTTCAGGGTGCACAGAGCACTGGGGAGGGGCAGCCTCCTGCAGCACCTCTGTGTCAGGATTTGGGAGTGGACATGTATTTGGAGAGTGTTAATGGTCACTCCTGGCCTTCATGGAGCCTCTGGTTTGCCCTAATATTTTGTTTGTTACATGGCAGGCTTACTGCCTGATTAGTGAGATGCCACTTCCTAAGTACAAAAATCATATGTTGGAAGGAAAGTAGTTATCATAATTTATGTCAGTGTTGCCATTTATTGAGGAAAAAAATTTTATGAGTGCTATTTAGAACCAGATCATTTTCCATGGAATCATATGATACTCTTGTGTATGTAAGGGGCAGCTGTTGCCAAATGCATAGAGCTCTTTAAAGAGTTGCTGAAGAGTCTCTTCCACGCTGAGAGTTGCTTTTTAATTAGACTTTTCAGGTTGTCTGTATAAGTCATAGTAATTCATAATATCAAAAATATAATTATCTTAAATATTTTAGGATATCCAGCTGGATTTAATTAAGCAAGAGGATACCCCCATGTTTATACTCACCAAATGATTGTTGATCCCATGTACATTGCACAAAAAGTCTCATGTATACTTTTAAGGCTCTGAATTACTTTTATTACAAATTGTGGGTACCATAAACCAAAAGAAATACTTTTCTAAAATGAGGAAACCATCATGAGGTACTGGGACAATGAAAATATGGGCTGTAGAGTCAGAAAAACTTGAGTTTGAATTTAGACTCTGCCTCTTCCTAAATGGAAGACTTTGAATAAATCTCTTAATCTCTCTGGGATGCAGTGTCTTCCTCAATAAAATGAAGATGCCATGTCTCACACTGGATTGTTGAGAAGATAAATAGCATGATGCGTGGCCATACCAGGTCTCCAACAGTTTTGAGTTTAAGAAGATCATGAGCACTACCCTATGACTCCCCGCCCCCGATCTCACTTCATTCCCTTCCCTCTTGGAAGCAACTATTATTTGTTCTTCTAAAATGTCTACTTATGATCTCCATGATTTTCTTAATTGCATGTGTTTTTGTCCTTAAGCAATAAATATTTTTTTTGCCCATCTCGCATATTTTTGCACTTAACTTTCTCTTCTCAGCTTAAGGTCACCTCCTCCGTGAAGTCTTCCCCAGCCCCCCAGGCTCCAGCTCCCTGACTGTCCCTGCCACTAGAATTGCTTTTCCCCAACCCATTCCCTGAAATAGAATCCTACCACTCTCCCAATTAACACTCTAGTGGCTCCCCAGTTCTCTTGGTCCAGGCTTAGAGATGAAGGTTTGAAGCAACCTTTGCAAACTGCAGTGTTATTCCTACCTTTTCTGAAAAGACTGACTGAAGCTCCCTTGGGAAAGCCCTGTTACTCCTGCTGGATGCCTCCTCCTGGAAGGTCTTAGCTCATGTTACTCTGAACAAGGAAAATGTGGAGCAGAGAAATGCTGACCTGCTCTGACTTCAAAATATAGTTTGTAAGGGAAGACACATTTCTGTATCATCCATGTAAATAACCATAGAGTAATCATGACTCTACTCTGAGTTCCACTCTGATGAGGGAAATAATATAAATAAATGCCCTTGCTTATGACAGGGAAATTGATTGGGAGAAAAAAACAACTCAAATCCTTTAGAAAAGACTTTTGGTTTTGCTTTTGTTTTTTTTAAGTTATAGACCATTCCAAATCAGCTCTGAAAATCCCTTCTATATTAAAAAATTAGTAAAAGTATTATAAATATAATGCCTAATTTATATGATTATAGGGAAGCTTTAAGTCAAACTAATGATGTAGGGAAACTATATGTTTTCAGACTATACGTATTCACATGTTCTAAATAGAATTAAATATTACTACTTTTACCATAGAGATTTTTTAGTTTTTTATTTAAACTTTCATGATATACTGATGCTATATATGTAATTTATTTGATGCTAAGTCCTTAGGGACGTAGTCTACAAATGCAACACTGTTCCTGGAATAAATAAGATTCACTTGATGGGATGATTTCCACTGAGGAAATAAACTAGGAACTTCTGTGTTTGGCAGAAAGTTAATCTCCAAATGTGAGTATTCCAAACGTTGCTTTGGCCAAAATCTTTAGAAAGAAAATAAAGCCAGTTTCTGCTTTGAAAGCAGTTGACCTCCAAAGTTTTATATTGATTCTAAATTGGAATTTTTTGCTGAGTTGTCTTGAAAGTTTTTTCATTTTGTTTTGTTTTTGTCATACGTACTAAAAGGTCCAAAAGGACCTAGGGCATTAGTTTATTTATACGATATGAGGTTAGGAAGCCTGTTAGCTCTTAAATACCCTATTAGGATCTTCTCTTATCCTGATAACAATATCACATTTCTAATAACGCGAGTCCCAGAGTTGCCAGCAACTCGAGAGAATGGCTCCCCAAATTAGATTTTCAGAAATGTGCAGGATAAGACTTATTATTTCCTGCCTAAAAATGAATATCACTGGGGACAATTTAAGAAATTTGGGGAAAAGAATTTTGCCTACGAATCTATAGGCAAAATTCTTTTCCCCAAGTCTGTGGGATTCCTCTTTGCCCTGCTTTCTTTCATCTGAACCAACACAGTACCACTGTGCCTTGTTCTGCCCTTAGCTCAGTCTCAGATCTCCCACAGGCAGAGTCTAACTCCTAGAACCAAAACTTTATGCTCTTTCACTAAAACCAGGTCATCTTTTAAGCAAAAACATTCAGTCTGATTTGCTGAAGGTCATATTTCCTAGGCTGGTGGTTCTGAGAATGATAAATTGATGCCCACTTACCTGGTGTAGATCTTCATTCTGGTCCAGCTGAGTCACAGCCTCACAGTGTGGTCTTTTCCTTTGTGTCCTACTCCGTTTCTGCCACATGGGATTTTTAACATAGAAGTTGGGTTTTCTGTGATCAAGAAAGAGGAATCATAGGATTTTAATATAATTTTGTTCCCTTAAAATAACTAGGTCCTTCATTTCAGTTAAGGATCATTTTGTTTCTGGGGCTCAGTTGGTAAAGCATCTGCCTTCGACTCTGGTCATGATCCTGGGGTCCTAGGATTGAGTCCCATGTCAGGCTCCCTGCTCAGCAGGGAGTCTGCTTCTCTCTCTCTTCCTCCCCCTGCTTGTGCTCTCTCTCTCTCTCTATCTATCCCGTCAAATAAATAAATAAAATCTTTAAAAAAAATTTTTTTAGGATCATTTTGTTTCTAAAAATAAAAAAGATACCAAATGCCTCCTCTGACAGAGAAGTTCCCTTTTCCTCTCTTCTCTGTTTCTCTTCAGGTAGAGATCTCAGGAGAAGTGAAAGGCAAGAGTAAAATGAAGAGCTAAAAGTTACTTTTAGCTCTAGCCAGACTTCTCCCTGGGAACTCAAGAGGATGTTTCCTTACCAACACCTGGGCCACACCCCGTGAGTCAGAGCCTCGAATGAGAGGCCAGGAAACCAGCGTGCTTTGAAAGTTCCCCAGGTGATTCTAACCTGTATCCAGGTTTGAGAAGCCCTGGAGTTTCCAATCACGACACAATACTGAATTGTGTCCTCAGCTTGCACTTGCTACTACATATTACCTGTGTGCCTTTTAATATTGTCTATCCTTTTTGTACCTATAAAAGGGAGGTGGTACGTAATGACAACTGGTCTATCTTTCTTTCATCATGAAAACCACAAGCAAAAACATTTATCTTCCATATAGCATTTCATTCTGTTTCAAATGTTGTAAATGTGCATCACTGTGTTTAGGACAATCAATATATTGATTCCACTCCATTCACTCTAAAGTATTTAGTTAATGGCTATTATATTATCTTATTTTTAAATTGTTCCTTCATTCAACAAATACCCATTGGGTACATCTCTTGATATTCCCTTATTTAGAATGCCCCATCACAGAATCTTGGATCCTAGGGCTGAAAGGGACATGTTCCGATTTTCTCAACTAGAAGATGAAAAAACTGAGACCCAGAGGGTATTGCGGCTTATGCAAGACTAGTTACAGTAGATTAAAACATCTAGTTAGTGGCAAAGCTAGAAATAGACCCAAATACTCTTTTTTTTTTTTTAAGATTTTATTTATTTGACAGAGAGAGACACAGCGAGAGAGGGAACACAAGCAGAGGGAGTGGGAGAGGGAGAAGCAGGCCTCCCGCTGAGCAGGGAGCCCGATGTGGGGCTCGATCCCAGGACCCTGGGATCATGACCTGAGCCGAAGGCAGACGCTTAACGACTGAGCCACCCAGGCGCCCCTAGACCCAAATACTCTTACTTAATCTTTTACCTGAAGTCCTTGAGCCGTATTTTAATATGGCTACCTATTGTTGCATAAAAAATTCCCCTAACATTTAGTAGCTTCAAACAATAAAAATCATTTATTATATCTCACCATTTCTGTGGGCCAGGAATTTAGACAGGGCATAGTGGGACAACTTGACTTCGTTCCTTGATGTCTGGGGCTTCAGCTAGAAGACTCATAGGTAGGGGACTAGAATCATCTGAAGGCTATTTCATTACATGTGTGGCAGCTGATGCTCATACTAATGATCACAACACCCATACTTGGCTCTTCCATGTGTTATGGTCTTGTCTTCCTTAGAGCATGGTGGCTGAGTCCAGAGCAAGTGTCTCAAGAAAAAGAGAGAGCCAAGGAAAAATAGATGAGCTTAGAAAGTCATGAAGAGTTACTTTTGCCACACTCTGAGGGCCAGGTCAGTTATTAGAGTACCCAGATTCAAGAGGAGGGACCATAGCCCCCACCTCTTGGAAGAGTGTCCACATCACATTGTAAGAGGATAATGTGGGATGATATATCTATCCTACTGGAGCCACCATCTTTGGGAGAATACAATCTGCCACAAGTCAGAGGTTATTTATGGGAGCCTGGTACAAGTTGAAAACCATGTCCCTCACTGTTTTATATAAATGAGGCAAGAGAGCACAACTCCCTCGAGAATATATCTCTGAAAAGCCTAAAGCCAATCATGCTTAAGCAATATATCCCCTCAAAAAACCCCACATATACACAATATTTACCCTCCACATTTAGTGTTCTGATTTTATGCTCTAGCTTCATGCTCTGGCTTATTAATGCTATATAAATGATGGTTAGGTAAGACTCTTGAAAAAAAAAAAAACCAATTTTCTCTTTATTATTTTCCATAGCATTTAGAAAATGAGAGGGACCTTAGCTTCATCATATGGACTCTCAAGAAGTCAGGAAATAATTACAATATATCTTGGGCAATTGAGTGGAGTAAGGCTACTAAATGTCTCCTGGACCCTAGAGCTTACCCCTCCCAAGCATATATTTTACAACTGCCTCTCTTCTTCTCTGTATCTTTATATAGAATGTAGCTCTCAGAGGGAATTGCTGTGCCTTTCTTACTCAGAGTGGCATTTCTAGTGCCAGCATAGTCCTTAGCACAATATGTATGTATGTTAATATATGTCAATATATATACTGAACCATTTTATCTTTCAGAAACATTGCAGAGTACATACATGCTGAAAAATATCAAAAGACTTCCTTTTATTATCATTGTAATTTTTTCTTCCTATTTATTCATGGGAGAGAAGTAGAATTTTATTGGCTTTATTTCCAATATGAATAAGCAGGTTCATAGTCCAAACCCACAAAAAACTTATTATATAAAGGTATATTAGAAAATATCTCTCTCTGGGGCGCCTGGATGGCTCAGTTGGTTAGGCGACTGCCTTCAGCTCAGGTCATGATCCTGGAGTCCCGGGATCGAGTCCCGCATCGGGCTCCCTGCTCAGCAGGGAGTCTGCTTCTCCCTCTGACCCTCCCCCCCTCATGCTCTCTCTCTCTCATTCTCTCTCTCAAATAAATAAATAAAATCTTAAAAAAATCTCTCATTATTTTAAAATATTAAAAAATATATATATATGAACATTGAAAGACAGGAATCATCGACAAACTTTAAACCCAACAGGATATTATTTTCCACTGTGATTAATGCAAAATAACCAGAAAAGTTAAAACATTTTAAATCATCTACCTAATTTGATTTCATGATGGAAAACCTTAGTTTTAGTTTTTATTTTCCAAACTTACTACAATGACATCTTGTTTTGGAAAATAGTCTGTTTTCTTCAGCCTTACTGTTGCTGGTATAGTTGGGCAAATACCAACATAATTTAGTAGATTCAAATGGTTTTGACACGCTGTTACCAATTTGGCTACTGACACAAGGAGCCACTGTTGTTACCTTATTCAACCATCTCTCATTATATTGCATATGATAACTTAAATACATGCATAAAGACACAGTATTAAAAAATAAGATGAAAAATCTTTCTAATCCTTTCAATTTGATGTCAGTTATTTTGTTGTATAGGTCCCAGAAGAACATCCTTATTAATTCATCCTTTCTAACCCCTAAACAAGTAGATGTTCCAAGTCCTTTTTGACACTTCTATCAATTTATTTTGGAAATCATTTTCTAATATTTTTAGAATGTAAAACATAGTCCTCAAATTAAAAATGTAGCTGGGACAGAGTCCTTGATTCAAGCATCATTAATTGAATGACCCTTAAGTCAAACCTCAACTGAAGAGTCCTTTAAAACTAACTTAATTCTAAAATACATTCCTAAAGAAGTACATGTATAAAATTTTCCTTGATGTTATAATATAAAGACAATGTTGAAAGCTTTATACATTACTCAATCATGATAACTATTATATATTATATCCTATAAAAATGAAAATCTTGGATCATATTAAATGTTTCTTATCACCTATTTATCAGAGTCCCTATAATTATGGTATATTTAAAATTTAATGACCTGTTTGGGAAAATATCTAGTGTTGTTCATCTATAAATGAAGGTCACAAGGCTTTTTTGATGGCTCATGAACTTCTTTCTTGTAGCATTGATGTTTATGCAATTTTGGTCTATAATCACTGTCCACACTTTCATTCTTAGCATGAACTAATAACATCTTTTTCCTGTCAATTCCAAAAAAGAATATGTATATAATGAGTACACATTTGTGTACACACACATGCAGTGGAAGACATAAATGGTGGGACAAATTATTCTTGAATTCCTTTGCCACTCAAGTCACCCATAAACTGAAAATGTGAGAACCACGTATCTAATATATAATTCCTAGTTTGTCTGAAATTTTCACTTCATTAATTGATTTACTCTCTCCTGGCACTTATTTGGGTATAATACAAGTGCAATCTATTTGAAGTTAATTCTCCAAATATTCCTGACTGCTGAGTGCACAGGTATGTCAGTCATTTCCTGACTAGTGAGAAGTAGAAAACTCATAGCCAATTTTTTCTGTATTGAGTACCTAGTTTGTTTAATTTTGAACAAGGGAGCAGAAAAGAGGAACCCAAATTCCCAACTTTTAACCCAGCTCTGTGGAAATTAATATCAGGGAGAGTTTACTACATATTTACTGGGTCCCTGGACTGCAAGATCTTAAGATCTGATACTGAATCCCAGATTCCTACTTTCTCACCACAAACCTCGCCTCTTATGGTTGTTGAGTTAATTAATCCAGGTGATGAGAGTAAAGGCCTTAAGCACTGCTCTAGGCACACAGTTATTAGCATACAAATAGCTCAATACAAGGGCAGCACTCTACCTGTGATGCCCTTGATGGATTTTCATTTCAGATTGGGTTAATTAAAAATATTTGAATGACCCTACCCACCAGACCATTCAACTACTATTCACAGTTACTACGACTTTCATTTTGTTTATTGCTACATGAGAATTCAATGCCAGTAGAAGCAGAACTAAGGAAAATAATTGCATTTAATGCTTTAATTGGAGTGTATTAAAAAAAAGCCCACCCTCCTTTGTCAGTCCACATGCCTTCTGGTAGCCACACTTCCAATATATCCAACTGGAAAATATACATTTTGCT